AGGCGGGGGCGCCGGGCGCCCTGCCCGAGCGCCCCTACTCGGACTCACCTGGTACAGAAAGCTAAGCCTCTGGAAGGCCTCGCGGTCCTTCACCTGCCCCGCCATCCGGGCCCCGCGAACGTCCGAAACACGCTGGTCCCTAGGCCCCGCCCCTCAGATCGGTCCGCCCCGGCGTCAGCGCAAGGCCTCCTGGGAAATGTAGTTCCAGGCCCGAGCGGCACCACCCTGCGGCCTCACAGATCCATCTGTTTGAATTGCATTCTAAGCCACGGCCCTTTGTGAGTCCTGGCTTCCTTCTCTCTTCAAGCCCATCACAAGCTATACTCGGTAGAGACTGGAGAGGCTGGCGGAACAGGAGAGAATCTCAAACTGCTATACATTTTCAGGACAGAAGGCGGGTCTCTCTGCAGCTAGGTTGGGGGGATGGTTCTGTGCAATTTATAGCCAGATAGACCTTCTGCACTACTCTTTGAAGCCAAAGGTGAGTGCCTGGAAGATGTACAGATAGAGGGCACAGAGGTTATACATTTAAAAAACCACTGGTGCCAGTGGGAGTGAAATTGGAAAGGATCATGAGTGGTGGAGGGAACAGGGTTCTGGCCCTCAGCACAACTCTCTTCCCCTGAACCACACACACGACCTGTCACACACACACACACACACGTCCTGTCACACAGTTCTAAACAGATACTAACTCCTAGTCTTAGGTACTGGAGCACAGAGATGACAGCATCTCCTGCCCTGAAACCACCCCCAACCCCAACACAGGGAGACATGGACCATAGTTCCTCCCTCTGACCTGCCTCCAATTTGTTCTGTTTGGCATCCTGTTTCACCTCTGCTTCATATTAATGACCAATTCCTGAGGTCAGAGTAGAGAGATGGAGGGGGAGAACATGGATGAACCCTGAGACAGGGAGAGGGCAGCCCAAGTTACAGGAGGGTGAAGCCTCTCTCCCCTCTCCAACTCCATCAGGCTGGGTAGGGGACCAGGACTCCAGCTCAGATGAAGTGGCTGAAACCTCTTCACAAGTATCCCCAGACTCACATGAAAGGACTATGCCTACAGTGTAGATGCCCAGGCCCACAGACCTTCATCAGTCACTTGGGATGAGCCCAGGAACATGCATTTTTAACACCCAGTGTTTCTGACACATCGGCAGTGGCGGCCATCAAATCACCACACAGCACAGAGATCACGTCAGTGGATCCTTTGTTCCATGTTGTTTACCAACCAGAGCATCTTGCTACAAAGAACCACAGTCAAGGCACAAAGGTAAGAGGAGAATCTGGACAGAGTCCTGTTGAGGTGGTTGGAGGAACTGACATGCCCTCACTAACCTTCTGTGAGCCCCATTACCTGAACAGCAGATGGCTCAGGTCGTGTCGATTTGGTCTGGCATGCGTCGCTTTACCTCTTTTGGCATGTCCCCTACGGATTATTTTGGCCTAACGTTAAATGACGTGCATTCTCTGATGGGGAAATGGCAAACGGTGAGGGATGGCAGCCAACAAGCAAAGAATGGCTCCGGGAACACTAGTTCCAGGCCAGGTGCGCACAGGCACAAGGAAGCTGCCAAT